GTGCCCTCCATCTTTCCCAGCATCAGGGTTATTGTTTCCCAAAGGTCCTTTAAGATGAAAAGGACCCAAGAAATCAGTTCACATGATGACATGTATATTCATTCATATGAATATATTGTTGCTGCCAAGGGTATTATGTGTATGTGTGTTTTAATGAGCTGACTAGAGTGAAAGATTATAAATTTGTTGGGTGTGTTGAGTATGAACTTAACAGTGCTTAATTTATTTTTTGACTGCTATTTTGTTAATGTTGTTTTACAGAATATAAATGATGTATTGATTTATATATACTATTTATATAACACATAAATAGAAAAGGATAAAGGAGCCCTGGACGGTTAAGTCCGGCCAAAGGTTACTATGGGGTTGTGGCGCCCATCTTGCTTTCAGGCCGAGGGAGTTGGTGTTTGTCCACAGACAGCTTTCCAGGTCATTTGGCCATCATGACTAAACCGCCTTTGGCACAACGGGACACCATGACAGAACCCAAAGCACACGGAAATGCCGTTTACCTTCCTGCCACAGTAGTACCTATTTATCTACTTGCACTGGCATGCTTTCGAACTGCTAAATTGGCAAGAGCTGAGACAGAGCAACGGGAGCTCATCCTGTTGTGGGGATTCTGCCGACCTTCCGATTGGCAAGCCCAAGAGGCTCAGTGGTTTAGACCACAGCGCCACCCGCATCCCCTAATACATAATACATAAATACATAACTAAGAAAAGGTACAGCAATACAATTATTCCTCTCTTCTCTCTTTTAACAATGTGTGTTTGCTTTACAAAACAACAATTTAAACCGACTCTGCAAGTTAGAGTTCTGCTATACCCACAGATGACAAAATTCATCCAGTGGGCGAGACGAGGACTATGACTGGTGCCTTACTATGGATCCTTTGGCTTGATAGATCAAGCTGCCCCCTCTTCATTCAGAAAATAATTCCAGGTAATTTTATCATCTACTTTAATTTCCTTCTTACCAACGGTTGATTAAATTACAAATGCGTCAAGTCACAAGGCCTCTGTTTTCTTGCGACAATGCGCGTTTCCGTGGCAGCTGATCACTTCCAGTGACACAAGCCTTCTTTCTGGACAGTAAAACCTCAGATCCTGTTTTGGCTCCCAAACGCCAAAAACCCGGAAGTAAATGCTCCAGTTTTCAAATGTTTTTCGGAAGCTGAACGTCCGACACCGCTTCCGCTGAGTGCAGGAAGCCATGCCTTGGTTGTTGAACATTTCAGAAACTGAACGGGCTTCCATAATGGATTACATTCGACAACTGAGGTTTGACTGTATAGCAAATGCGTTATTTGAGGTGCAAGAGTAAATTGTACCTTCAGTTTGAATTTGTGGGTGGGGAGCAGGCCTCAACTCCCTGAAGCTTGGGAAAAGTTAGATTAGGACAACTGTGGGGGGAAGATAATGAGCGTTCAGCTTTAAAACACTTCTTTCTAAGTCATCTATGGAGTACAATAATTTAGAAAATTAAAGTGCTGTTGGCACCTTGAATCTATGATTCAGCACAGGACACTAGTATTTTACTTAATTGGAGAGGATCAAGACAGAATTTATTACTGCTGAGTCAGAGGCTATTATGCGCTACAATAAACCGTAAAGCAGAATAAACCTAATTCATAAACCCAGCAGGAGCAACGGATTTGCTCCAGCCGTGCGCTTGCATTGGCATGAGCTCCCTGCCACTCTTGCCCGTCCTGGTAAATGGCAGTGACACCGCTGCTGGCAGGAGGCTGGGTGCCCCATGAGCCCCTCGTGCCGCGAGAGCCAGGCTGACAACAATAGTTTTAGGAAAAGGACAAGGGCAATTGCGGCCAGCAGGACATTGGCTGCTTGAGGCAAGAGCAGCTGACGGGGGGCCACTAGGAAGCCACCCGCCCAGAAGTGGCATCCCTTCTGCTTACCAGGGCTGGGCAGGTGTAGAGGCAGGAGTACCAGATTGGCCACGCTAGTGTGCCTTTGCTGCCAGGCCTCACTGCCCCTCTCCTTTGCTCCATCCCATTGCAATGCCCCACGGATATAAGGACTGGACTGAAGAGGAATGGTGGGGGCTGCCCTGAACCCAAAACAGGAGGAGAGTATAGATTTAGAAGAGTGGTTTGCAGAAGGGCATAGTTCAGAGGCTGCAGAGGGCAGAAGATGGGAAGAGGAAGAGCAGGAAGGAGGAGAAGCACCAGGGGAGAGGCAGCCGACAGACTCAGTGTCCTTGGAAAGCATTCCTGACACACACACCCCCAGACCAGACGGGCATTGCGGGTATTAGAACAGAGAGCTCAGAGGCAGAAAGCTCAGATTAACCGATGCAGGAGTGACGTCGAATAAGGGGGACGTAGGGAGGGGACTTTACTTGGAGCAATGGCATTATTAGGAAGGCTGCATTCCTTCATTGTTCTCTGTAAATTATTGAATAAATTGCTTGGTAAGAAGTTTTATCGTTTCTCTGATTCTGGGCTGCCACCGTGGGAGGGATCTGATTCCCCGAGACTTGAAAGAGAACTTGCTGAATTACAACTTATTACTAATCTGAAAACTATGAGGAGACCTGGTCTGAATAGAGATATTGGATTCTTGTCTCATGACATATGCTAAAACTATTTTTGGTCATCTGCATCATCATCCCTTGCTTTTTCCTGTAGGACTAATTGCAGTCGTTAACAGTCGTCAACAGGTTGACCATACCCATTGAGTCAATCCCCCATCTCCTACTACCCTTCTGAGCCATAATTAACAGCTGGAAGGTCAATGGCAATCCAGTTACACATAATCACTTTTTGTTTTCTGTGTCTTCCATAAGCAAATTACCCTTTGAAAAATACAAATATTTTTATTGCCTTTGAACCTAATTCATATAGATTATTCATTGGATTGCATTTCAGCTTCAGAACTTCTGCTGCCTGACTTTGGTGCAACATAGATTTTTAAATATAGAAGATCTTCAAATGAATGGTGGGCAAAAGGAAGGAAACAAAAGTAATATTTCTGGACTGATTCATTATTTCTCTAATTTATTGGGAGCTTCAAACTCTGATGGCCAATGTGACCTAACAGAACAGACAAAAGAGATTGAGGCAGTATATGTGTATCAGAGTCCCGCACACCATTTACTCATCTAATTAAACACATTTCCTTTATTGTCTTCCATGAAGCCTCCTGGTCTTTATTTCCTTTTTTATTTCTTCAATATATTTATATTCTGTTTCTCTGTATAAAATATTTAAAGCTGTGTGTGTGTGTGTGTGTGTGTGTGTGTGTGTGTAAAAACTCTAACAAGATTTATGCTTTGTACTTAATTTGCTAAAGCAACCTGATTTAATAAAACAAGTGTAAAAGTTATTTTGAAAAACATTGTCACCATTATTTATTAAATTTATATACCACCCTTCATCTGAAGAGCTCAGAGTGGTTCACAAAACATGCACTGTCCTGTGACCATCCACAGGGCTGAAATCTGCGTGGGAAGAAGCTGCGGGATACCCGGAGGGTAAGGAATGGGAAAAATACAGTGAGATAAACAGATGAAATCTATTTCTGCTCATGCCAGGGAAATCACATTAATTTTTTTTGGCCATAGATCATGGGCATAGCCAGGATTTTTGTAAGGGGAGGCAGGCTTTTGTTGGGGGGTGGGGTGGGAGGAGAAACTAGATTTTTATTGATTTAGGGGGGAGCAGCTGCCCCCTGTCGCCCCTTGGCTATGCCCATGCCATAGATGGAACAGAACAGCAGTTCAAGTCTCTTGTATTCATATCTGATGTGAACCTGATCATTGGTGCAGCTGTGGAGGCCACAAACCCACTTTCCCTTAGGACGGGAAGGTTCCAGGGTTGGTGAATTCTGGTCCATAGCATTTAAAGAAATTGCAATAATCATATGACGACAAAATGAAATGTCACAACTGGCCCTTCTTTTCAAAGGAAACGTTGATATATTATTTAAAGATCTTCTGATTTTTTAAAAATAGTAACTGCTCAATTAACCATTGTACAGAAGAGGAAAACTTTTAGAAGGCTTGGAGCTCTGAATATGGCATTAACACATTTGGGTTATGGCCATTTCTATAAATATATGTCATCATCGAGTTCTGCCGGGCACTGCTAAACCTGACACTTTTCACACCGCATGGCAGGGCCAGCACAGAGGCGACTGCCTCAGGCAGCACAATCTACAGGGGCAACAGATCTGGCTTCTGTCACCCCAGGGCGCATCCTGCTCTATGTTGTTGTTTAGTCATTTAGTCGTGTCTGCCTCTTCGTGACCCCCTGGACCGGAGCACGTCAGGCACTCCTGTCTTCCACTGCCTCCCTCATGTTAGGAGCTTCGAGAACACCATCCACCATCTTGTCCTCTGCCGTCCCCTTCTCCTTGTGCCCTCCATCTTTCCCAACATCAGGGTCTTTTCCAGGGAGTCTTCTCTTCTCATGAGGTGGCCGTTCATCTTGGAGACTCATTGGAGTCCTGTTCTATAGTGGAAGTTTATTGCACATGCCAACCAACACCACTTGCAACAACTTTCAGCAACTCCCCTTGAAATATGGATCTCTGGATCTGTCTATGATCTAGCTCATGGGTAGGCAAACTAAGGCCCGGGGGCCGGATCCAGCCCAATTGCCTTCTAAATCCGGCCCGCGGTCAGTTCAGGAATCCGCATGTTTTTACATGAGTAGAATGTGTGCTTTTATTTAAAATGCATCTCTGGGTTATTTGTGGGGATAGGAATTCATCCATATTTTTTTTCCAAAATATAGTCCATCCGCCCCCAAGGTCTGAGGCACAGTGGACCGGCCCCCTGCTGAAAGGGTTTGCTGACCCCTGACCTAGCTATTTTTGATGTAATCTCTCTTCCTTACTGTTGTGTTTTGATGTTTTTTACCTGTATGACAGATGCCTGTTTTCTCCTTCTTTTCGTATTTTCTTTCTTTATTGCAATTTTATTGGTGCAGTATTAGAATCTTACTGCCCTCTCGAGATTATGATCAATACGCTCCACACTTTGTCAAATGCATATTTATTAAGTTGCTTTCACTGCACCGTGGTTTCACTTAATGTTCTCCAAACCCTTGGAGTCATAGTAGCGATTTACTCCAGACACACGCTTGTCTCTCTCCAGCAGGTACCACTGATAGGTGTTCCGGGCAATTCTCTTCTCCTTGCCCCCGTTGGTGTATCTGTGGATGTAGGCGGTGCTCACCCCAGGGATGACCAGGCACACGTACATGAGGCCCAAGCCAGGCAAGATCTCGTACCACATCCCGACGGCTGCGCGGCTCTTTCTCTCCCCGACCCTGGAGACCTCTCAGGGAGCAGAGCTGCCTCTCAAAGCAGAGTTCGCCTCTTTTCTCTTTGGATTTTCTCTGTGCTCTGAAAATCCAGTAAAGAAAAATAAAAATGATTCTATTTTTTTAAAAAGAAGAATCTTAAACTGGAGGGGTTGTGATTGTATAATGTATTTGTGTTTTGTTCTTAAAGAAAATCTGCCTAATTTCATGATCCCTCTCAGGATGGGGGGTCAGCAGACTTAATTGTAGCTCTGCCATTCGTCTCACATATTATCTCTGTAACCATTACATCAATGTTTTTATTATTATCTTTATCGCTTGTCCAGTGGTCCAAGTGTAGTGAATATATAATGCAGCCCATTGTTCTTTCCTAAATATTACTCCAGGGGGACAGGCTAAAGATGAGACAGTGTCTTATCGAAACTCTGGAATGTGGCCTATTGTTGTGAGAGACTGCAGGGATCGTAAAACACAAGAGTGCAGATCATCTAAAGGAGCCAAACCACATGCTACTACAACGGAAATCTCCCTTTGCCCCCCTCCCCACAATCCCTCCCCTTTCGTTCCCATACATGCATCCTTCCCCAGCTTTCATACAGACAGCAGCACATGCATACACAAACAACACTATTCCAGTTCGAATAACACACAGGCAACAACGACAGCACCCCTCTCATGTACACACAACCCACAAGCCGATGTTCCTGTTCCTTCCTTCTGGTTCCTTCCACTGCTGCAGCCCTGCTCATCCTGGAAATTTACCTGTATCTTTTGTGTAACAGACTCCAATCTGGAAGATTAAATTTGTTTATCAAACCTAGGGTTTTCAAACAGTGAAAATCCAGACAGAAAGGTTGTTGAGCGTTTTTGGGCAAAGTTGTTCAGTTGTGTGTGGTTTTTTTTACTTTTGGCCAAAGTTGCTGAGCACACAAAAAGAGTTTTAAAGGAAAGTTGCCAAAAACAACACTGCTGTCATGTGTTGCCATACACCTGGATTTTCCTGGACATTTTAGCTATTTCCACCTGGACACTGCTTCTGACTACAGTATTCTGGATATGTCTGGGAAATTCTGGACATATGGCAACCCTGATCAAACCTGTGCTACATTTGCCAGCACTTTTCTCCAAATTTATTCCAAAATGCTTTCTTGATATACATTGCATAGCTTTGTCCTTGAACAATTTCCTGCATAAAATATATATATGTTGACAAAGTCCAGAGGGATAGGAAGTGGACCATAGCCCCTGAAAATGTATGCTATAATAAATTTGTCAGGGATTATGAGTTTCAGAACTATCTTCTAACAGATTGATTGATTGATTTGTCCATTAAATAGTAACAGAAAGATATGCAACTTCAACAATACTGTAGGACTCTAAATCAAATTATAAATTCGTAAATTAAAAACATTTGAGCAGAATCTACCTTGGCTGTGGTGAATGCCAGTCATAAGGTCTGAAACCAGTCAGTCAGACTTTTTTGTGTTCATGCTTGTCTGTCTGTAACACAAAGGAAAATATATTACAAAACAGATCATTCTTTAGACACAAACTGGAGTCTTTCAAAGGTCTTAGCCAAAATGGTCAATACCTCTTTCTAAAAGTTTCCTTGGGAAAGGTCTTCAACTTTTCTGTATTGACACTCAACAAAGAACAGCCCACACTCTGGTCAGCGACCAAAATAAATTGATTCATTCAACAGCAGTCCAAGAAGCAAACTTCACTTGCCCTTGGACATAACCAGATCTTCACTCTGCTCAAAGTGCTCAAGGATCATTCAGTTGTGTTCATTGTAATTTGGAGGGAAAGTGCTGTAAGAATGGCCATTTTAATAGCAAGGAATAGTTCAGTTGCATATGTCACACAGTGACAGGTGTATTCCTTTGGTATATATATATTTTTGGCCACAACTCGTACCAAGGAACAGATTCATCCCGTAAATTTGTAGAAACCAACAAATATTGTGATTTTTAAATGGATACTGTCATTTGTGAGTTTGGACCCATGACACCAAATACCAGGTGAATTCCTGTCAAAGTCATGTTTTGGTCCTCCATCTTGATCCAAAATGGCATCTAGCATGCAAGCTGATGAAATGAAAGTGGCACCTCGGGTTAAGAACTTAATTCGTTCTGGTGGTCCGTTCTTAACCTGAAACTGTCCTTAACCTGAAGCACCACTTTAGCTAATGGGGCCTCCAGCTGCTGCCGCGCAATTTCTGTTCTCATCCAGAAGCAAAGTTCTTAACCTGAAGCACTATTTCTGGGTTAGCGGAGTCTGTAACCTGAAGCGTCTGTAACCCGAGGTACCACTGTACACCCCCATTGATATCCAGGTTTCCCTGCTGTTCAGGTTGTACAGTAAGGGTAGCTGCCTCATTATTTTCGGTTGGGACGTTCTCATGCTGTACCTGGATATTTTCCTTTCCTTTGGAGGCAGGCACATTGGGGGCTGCTTGCAGGATGTCTGCTGATGAAGTCCTTTGTTTTCAGCGTCTGCTTGGGGCTCACTAGCTGCCTTCTGCTTTTTGAAGCAGATGCCCACGGCTAATCAAAAACAGCTGCGCTTCTTTGCTTTCTCTCTCTCAACAACCTCGTATAGAAAACCCTCGTGCCTTTATTTCAATCTTCAACCAACCAAGAAAAGAATTTTTTGCTGCCCATTTCCTGAGAAACTTGTGAGCAATTTTATTTTTTCTCCTGCAGGTTACTTTGGGTTTCTGTTTTTGCCCAGCGATTCCACCCATCCCCAAAAGAAGCAAGGCCAGCTGCCCAGTCTCCTCACCTGATCACTAAAAGGCATCACAAGTGCCATGCTGATATTATCACAGCATTTCTAGGGTTAGGATGTATGGGGTGATTGGGGAGGGGTAGCTCCTCTGATGGAAGACGCGTCATGGTTGTCCACCTTTGGTCCCCACCTTTGGCTCCTAGAAGCTGCCAGCAGGCGACTGCGGCGACACCCTGGGAAACAGCTTTGACTGGCCTGCTAAAACAGATGAGGGGAGTTGATGGGTCTCAATCCCTGGCTCTGGCAGACTGAGCGGCCAAGAACAACAGCGGGTTCAACAGTCAATAACGTGGTTTCTGCACGTACTGTAGGGGGAAGTGAGGGACAGATGGGACTCATCCACCTGGGAAGGGAGCCAACGCAGGAGAAGGAAAACTCTGACCCTAAGCCGCCTCGGCTGGCTGGTGGGATACCTTTGGGAGAGAAAAAAGTTGAGCAAACCCAACACAAATCTGGAGCGGAGTCCCTAAGACAGTTGGGTGGTGCCTTGTAGGCTTCCATCTGGCAACTCCTGCAGCCAAGCTGGCGCCAAACATATTGCTCTGCTTTCCTTTGGACCACATCAGGGAGGCCAAGAGGGGGGAGATTTTGTCGTCTGGGCAGCCCAGGACCCCCAGACACCCTGCCCAGGCCTGGCCATCGGGGAGGCCACTTGGCTGCAGCCAGGGCTGAGCTTTGACTTCACCCCCCCCCCAACCATTTAGAGGGCTCCTCAATCTTGTAACATTGGTGTCAGCAGAATCATTAGATCAGAAGCCCCAAGGGCCATCGGAGCTGCCGGCCGGCCCAGTTGGGCTCTGGTCCAGAAAAGTGACCGGTCCTCCAGCCGGGCAGCCACTCCCAACGCTAGTCTGGCCTGGCTGGGTGCGTCTGCCGACATCCAAAGAACTACATTTAGGATCGAGGGGGAAGGAGGGTCGAGAACTACACAGGGGTACCTCGGGTTACAGACGCTTCAGGTTAAATATGCTTCAGGTTAGAGATGCTTCAGGTTACAGACTCCGCTAACCCAGAAATAGTGCTTCAGGTTAAGAACTTTGCTTCAGGACGAGAACAGAAATCAGGCTCCGGCGGCGCAGCAGCAGGAGGCCCCATTAGCTAAAGTGGTGCTTCAGGTTAAGAACAGTTTCAGGTTAAGAACAGGTCTCCGGAACGAATTAAGTTCTTAACCCGAGGTGCCCGTCTCCAGGCCCTTCACTATCTTCATCCTCCTCCTCTGGACATGTTCCCGTTGTCTATCCTTTTTAATCTGTAGTGCCCAGAAGTGGAAACAATATTTCGGGTGAGGCCTAAGCAAAGTACAGTGGTACCTCGGGTTACATACGCTTCAGGTTACAGACCTCTGCTAACCCAGAAATTGTACCTCGGGTTCAGAACTTTGCTTCAGGATGAGAACAGAAAGTGCGCGGCAGCAGCAGGAGGCCCCATTAGCTAAAGTGGTGCTTCAGGTTAAGAACAGGCCTCCGAAACGAATTGAGTACGTAACCCGAGGTGCCCCTCTCTTTGGGCTTGGCGGGGCTGCCCGAAGGCGCCCCAAGGTGGCACTACCTGAGAGCCCGACCGGGAGTCCGGAGGCGGCGGCGGCGGGAGAAGCGCGGGCGCCCGGGAGGCCTTTTCCCTGCCTCTCTCTCCGCCCCTTCCCGGCCGAGGGCGGAGCGGCGGGCGGCTTTAGCTGGCGCGGAAGAGGCGCCCGGCCCACTCGCCTCGGCTCGGCTGGCGGAGCTTCGTCCTCGGCGGCGGCACCTCGAGCAGCAGCAGCGGAGAGCCGAAGCAGCAGCAGCCCGAGAGCCAGCCAGGCACACGTGGCAGCCAGGCAGACCCGGGAGCGCGCCGCCGCCGCCGCCATGGGCAGAGGGGTGAGCGGCGAGGGAGGGAGCCAGGAGAAGGGGGTCCGCTGGGGGCTGCCGACGGCGCCTCGAGCCCCTTCCGCCTCCGGCCAAGCGCGCCTGCTTCTCTGGGCGGCTCCCTCTCCCGCTGGTGGGGCTCCGTCCTCGGCCGCTCCGGGCGCCGCGGGAGCCGGGCGCTTCGCCTGCCGGCGGGGGAGGAGGCGGACCAGGGCGCGCGCGGGGCGGGGAGCGGGGGGTGTGGGGCGGGCCGGGCGGGCCGGGCGCTCGGCATCCGCGCTCGGGGGCCGCAGCTCCGGGGGATGCGCGAGGCGGGGGGCGGGAAAAGAAAGATGTGCCCCCAGCACGTGGCCAAACGAGGACGGAAAGAGGCTTTCGGAATCTGACCCCCAAATCGGCGCCCTGCTGAATTCTGCCGCCTCCTTCGAAGAAGCAAGGCTGGTCCGGGATCCAAAGCAGCCGAGCGCCTCTGGTGTCCCTGCTGTGTCCCCCCAAGAGCCCCCCGCCTGGGGCTCCGGCTCCTCCTTGGGCAGCTCAGCTCGGCTGGGGGGACATTTCTCCGGGAGGCTCCTCGGCCCCCTTGCCCGGCCTGGGCTTGGCCTTTGGGGCTTTCCCCGGGCTGCCTTGAGGGAGGAGGGAGCCATTTTCCTCGCAATTGCCGAGTTACAAAATGGGTTATCCGCGCTCCAGGTGAAAAGGGCTGAGAGGAGGAGGGCTGGGCAGACAGGAGGTGGGATCTGTTTTCCAGTGACTTGGACGGGCCTCTCTCTGCACCAGCTTAGAGGAGGGAATTGCCGGCACGGATTGAGAAAGGGCCGGGGCTCCAGCTGGCTGGGCTGGAAATGTTGGGCCAGCACTTCGGGGCAGGAGCTCCAGTCATGGGAGAGGCTGTCGACATGGCAGCAAGGGGCCCCAGGTCCCTCGTGGCTTCGGGGCGCCACTGGACACCATGCTGACCTTCCCAGGACTGTAGTGCTTGCCTCTTAATATCTACGGGAAAAACTTTCCAAAGTCTGGGAGGTTTTTCTTTTTAGAGGCCGTGCCTAGGAGAACAGCTAGAAATGGAAGACCAGGCAGTGGGGGGAGTTATCCCATGTTAAAAGTGATGAGCCCGGGTCTATTTAGGCCTGAAAGTCTCCGGTTTGATTATGTACGTATGATATGAAATGCTTCTCCTGCCTTTTCTCCAAGGATTTAAGTTCTACTCTTGCCAGCAAGGCAGGTTAGGAAGAAAGGTGGGATTTGCCCCACGTCACCCAATGAGCCTTAAGGGGCTTGAACCCAAGGCCTAATGGACAGCGCCCCTGTCTCAAGTTGAAATACCTTTCATGTGCTCAATTTGAAAGTAGTTTTCCCTAACCGTACTTCTGTAGAGGCCTCAGGGTCCAAGTTTTGCAGGATGGTTCATTAAAATGGCTAATTAAGCGGGCGGGACAAGTGGAAACAGGAGAGGCTGTTCCCTAATTGTGGAAACATCTGAGTGACAAGATCCTACAGCTTGATGCAGTGGGGCAAGAAAGTTTGCCTTGCTCTCGTAGTCTGTACAATTATCACACAGTGTGTAGTATCTCGTTGTCTTTGGGTAGCTTTCGTTTAGTGCCCCAGTCAGCCATCCCATTCATTTAGCTGAACTCCTCCCTAGTAACTTCCCTTTTCTTGCTGGATGTAAAGGATGATCACATCACTTGGCTTCGCACTGGCCTTTTTTTTCCGTGGACAGGGAATATTTTGGGTTGCTTTTCATAGAAATGTAGAGTTGGAAAAGGTCCTGAGGGTCATCTGTGCACCCCCCCCCTTGCAATGCAGGAATCCTATAACTGCAATTGATAGCCTGTTTGCTCCCGCTCTCTTGAAAGTATGTTAACTGCATGGCTGAGGTAGTGAGCACACCTGATGGCTCTCCTGTTTTCTTGCAGCAAAGGTAGCTGAGGGTAAAGGACTAGGGAGATCACAGTGCAGAGGTTTGTCTGTAAAATTCTTAGCAGAGTCGCAAACGGCTCTACGGCTCGCTCTACAGTCCTGGATGTATGTTGGCCGTCTCCCAACACAAACTCCTTTTAAGATGGGGGTGCAGGTGGCAAGCATCGGTCTGAACTGGCTTTGACCAGTAACGACTAGTTCAGTTCAGTGCCATTGGCAGCCATGGAGTTGCAACCTTAATTGCCAAAACCAGGGAAAATAGCTTTGATTGAGCGCTGTCTGTTTTTTGCCTTCGCTCTGTGAAAGCAAACAAAGCTGAGATTCTGCAGTCTGGGAATTCTCCTTGTTAGCACTGGCTTCATTAAGCAAACCACAGAGGGATCTCTGATTCAGAAGAAAAAACAAAACACCCTTCCACACCGTTCACAGTGACTCTGATATTTCAACACAAGAAAAATGGAAAATTACTTGAACCTGTTTTGTTACTTTTTTGAGCAGGGTATACCTTTGGAGTCGGTGTTTATGTAACCAGAGATTCTAGTATAGCTTCAGGATTTAACTTGCTTACACTCCAGAGTATTACTGTGGA